GAGGGATGATTCGACGGAAAGGAAAAGTGTTGAAACGTGCTCATAGCACGGTCGGGGCTATAGCAATCGAGCCATTTATGACAGGGAATTTTACCAGCGCATTCAGCCAAGGACCGACCCGCGGCCTTTTGTTTCCAAATTGCCGTTAGACGTCGACGATGACCATAACCTGGGGTTCTTGGGCATCTGCAAAACACGTGCGGGACACTCGTATTTTTATTAATTCTCGGTTTTTCCTGACCATCGATTCCCGGAATTCCAGGTCTACTTCGAGAAGGGGAATTTCAGCGCATCGTTCTCCCTTCCAACATTCCAGACATTATTTGCCACACCCACACCAACTCAGAACACCAATCATGTACAAATACATCCACCACTCCAACACACCATTCAAGCAACACACGAACCTGTAGATATTCTCACCACTCAGTTTACTGTGATCAAGTGCTATCCTGTTTTTTACCGTGTTCCGTGCATAAACCGTGATACGTTATTATGGCTCCAGTAACGGAAGAACGCATTCGCGCACTCACAATGAAGCGTGCATCTTTGAAATTTGAAGTTTTAATGTTTAAACATTTTATTGACAGTTGTGATCCCAATACACAAGACTTAGAAATTCAAAATCGATTAATTGAGTTACCTTCAGAATTCGCGTCGTTTACGAAATCTCAAGGAGATTTAGATGCTACAGATGAAACGGGAGAGTTAATGAAGGAACAAGTTGAATTGAAAAATTCGTACCTTAGTCATATATCTCAAGCACAAAAACTATTGCAAGCGGTGCATCAACCACCTAACGTTTCACAAACAAACCCTGACCGTGGGTTAAGCAATACGCCGTCGAATGTAGAAGGGCTCGAAAACGATGTAAGTCTTCCAAAATTGCATTTGCCTTATTTTCATGGATATTATGAAGAATGGCCGGGATTCGCTGATCAATTCAAATCTGCCGTAGATGATAATGCTAGACTAACTGACTGCCGAAAAGAAGCGGCGAGTTTAATTCAATCAAAAAAGTAATTACAGAGCTGGTTGGGAATTACTTGAGGAACAATATAATAAACCAGCAGTGATCGTTGCTAATCACGTACGCGCGTCGTTTAGTTTGCCACAAATTACGAAAGTAACGCACCAGAATTTAAAAACCATTCTTATCCGATTTAAAATCACATTATCGGGCGTTGAAAACACTGCAACAGCCAACAGCGGACACATTATTAATATTTTTATGTTTATTCAGACTAGATCAAGATACAAATTTAAAATGGAAAGAACATACTCGTGAAAATGTGTTTCCAAGTCTGGATGAATTATGTAAATTTTTGCATAATCGTTGTCACGATTTAGAACTATCGGGTCCAGCAGCTAACACGCGTCGCGTCGAAGTTTTTAAACCACGAAATCCACAATTTCATTCCGCACCGCGACCCATACAAAATAATATCGCGAGTCCTCAGAGAGTGCACACAGTCGGACATGCATCGTGCCCTATTTGTAATGGTCCTCATTTAATTTATAATTGCGACAAATTTACTGGGATTTCAGTGTCACAACGTACAAAACTTGCGATAGACAATCGATTATGTCTTAATTGCCTAAAGAAAGGTCATTCATTATCAACTTGCAAAAGTAGTGGCTGTAGAGTGTGCAAGAAACAACACAATACATTATTGCACACTGATGCCCCATTCGAACCACAACCTTCAACCAGTCGCGTTAACGTTACGTGTTTAAATAACATTACGGGTTCTCACGTTATATTATCCACCGCATTTATAGATGTTATTGACAGCAATTGACAATCTCATCGTTGTCGAGTGTTATTAGATTCATGCGCACAATCTCACTTTCTGACAAACAGATTTGCCAAAAGATTAAATTTAGCATTACATAAAACTCATATTCCAGTAACAGGGATGAATCGCATGCATTCTGAAATCAAATACTTCACGAAAGCTCGTATTCAATCCCGCACAACTAACTTCATGACTGAATTAACATTTCTTCTCGCAAATCAAATAACTGATCCTGTGCCGGATGAAAATATAAATTGCAACTTGTTAGAAATTCCTAAGAACGTGCCACTTGCTGATCCTGAATTTCATAGAAAAGCGGATATTGATGGTTTGCTTGGAGCACGATTATTTTGGCATTTGCTTAGTGTAAGACAAATTCAATTAGCATATCCCACAATTATGCTACGTAAAACATTACTAGGGTGGTTAGTGGTTGGCGAGAGCCTCAGTTCTAAGCAAATTAAAAAGACTGTTTGCAATCTAACATTGAACTCATTAGATGTTGAGCTAAGCAAATTTTGGGAACTCGAAAAAACACCACCAGTCAAAGTGTTTTCTGACGAGGAACGAACTTGCGAAAACCATTTTTTAAATAACACTCGACGAGATACAGAATCGGGAAGATACGTTGTAAAATTGCCCTTTAAAAGCACCGTTGATAGTCTAGGTGATTCTTACAATATAGTCATGAAACGATTTTTATCGTTAGAAAGATCATTTCAGCGTAATAAAACTATGCACGAACATTACTCTAATTTCATGCGTGAATATGAAACCCTTGGTCACATGACTAAGATTGAATTTTGCACTAAATCAGAAGGATATTATCTTCCGCATCATGCAGTCCAAAAGGAAGATAGCTTAACGACTAAAATTCGAGTTCTGTTCGATGCATCGGCGCAAACGTCATCGGGCATATCATTAAATGATATTTTAATGACCGGACCTACCATTCAGGAAGATCTTTTTTCCATTATTAATGGTCCTTTTATCCATTAACAGAGTTGCACCTCTTAAAGTTCAATCCTTACCACGATACGAATTATGTGCTGCAGTTTTATTGGCTAAATTATTTAACGCTACAATAAATTCCCTCAAATTAAAAATAGATCAACATATATTTTGGACAGATTCAACAATAATATTAGGGGGACCGGAAAGTAATGTCGCTTTTTTACATTAAATTCAAACGAACAAATTTTTAAGAAGTCTTTATTTTTAATCAATAATATAATCACCCTCGTTATCAACAACCTTTTGCCATCTAGTGTGCAAATTTTCAATCCCGGACCGATAAAAATCAATTGGTTTTTGAATAAAATATCTCGAGATTGCATTTTGGACATCATCCAAATTTTCAAATTTTTTGCCACTAAGAAAATGTTGTAGGGATCGGAATAAATGGAAATCCGAGGGTGCGATATCGGGTGAGTATGGTGGGTGAGGCAGTACCTCCCACCCCAATTCATTAATTTTTTCCAGTGTTCGTCTTGCACAGTGCGGTCTTGCATTGTCGTGTTGCAGAATGACGCCTTTTCTGTTGACAATCGCCGGATACTTTTCGATTAAAGATTGGTTCACTCGATCCAATTGTTCACAATAAAGGTCTGCATTAACAGTTTGTCCAGGTTTCAGCACTTCAAAGTGAACAATTCCGCGAATACTCCACCAAACACACAGAAGCGCCTTTTTGGGATGTAAACCCGGCTTCGCAGTACTTCGTGGTGATTCATTTGGAGAGAGCCACTGCCTTTTGCGTTTTGGATTATCATATAGGACCCATTTTTCGTCTCCAGTGATCAAACGATCAAAAAACGGTTCTGTATGGTGCCGTTGAAGCAATACGTTGCATGTGATGGATCGGTTGGCTTTGTTCTCTTCGGACAGATTATGGGGGACCCAAACACCTGCTCTGCTTATTTTTCCAATCTGCTGTAAATGTTCCTGGATGGTCGACCAAGGTTGGTTAAGGGTGTATGACAGTTCTTCGATTGTTTGACATGGATTTGCTTCGACTTCTTTCTGCCCTTAGCATGTCGTCTAATGTCGTTGGTTTTCCTGATCGATAGGAGACAGAGAGATCAAAATTACCGAATCTGAAGTTGGAAAACTATCTTTGGCATTTACGAACGTATAATGCACTTGGATAAACATCGCACATGTTTTTGGTCGCAACTGTTGCGTTACTACCCTTGCGAAACTCAAAAAGCATACAATGCCGGATATGCTCTTCTGGTATTTGGTATTGAATTATTTAGAAGTGAACAAGTCACAATAACCTTAAAATGACTTTGGCACGCCTTCGAGATACACAATGAGCTGACAAATGACAATTAAATATCGACATGCGCAGAAACGACATTACTTTCCGGTCCCCCTAATATTACATTGGATTAACGCTTCTCCTCACACATTAAAGGTCTTTGTTACTAATCGTGTTAGTGAAATACAACAATCAACCGATAAGGTTCAATGGCGTCATGTCCCATCACAAGACAATCCGGCTGATTGTTTGTCACGAGGTGTGTCTCCAACTGAATTTCTTAGCAATAATTCTTGGTTTACCGGTCCGCAATGGTTACGAAAATCTGAGGACAATTGGCCATTTATTGCATTGTTACCTGTCGAAGTGCCGGAGCATCGAACCGTAATAACCCTTGCCACGTTAAGTACTACGGTTGAAACATTTATTGAGAGGTTTTCGTCAATGGGGCGGTTAGAACGTACAACTGCATATTGTCTTCGATTTTATTACAATCTCACTAATAAGCCAAAACGGACAAGCATACTTACCGTAGAAGAATTGCAAGTCGCACGACAACGACTCATAAAATTTGTACAAAATACAGAATTTGCTGATGACCTAAAACTTTTATCAAATCCAAACAATATTACAATGGCAAATTACGCATGTTAAACCCTTTTATAGATGAGAATGGTATTTTACGCGTAGGTGGACGAATTAAACATGCAACCACCACGTACAATAAAAAGCACCCTATATTATTACCAGCTACACACCATTTTACTACATTAGTTATTCGTCATATGCATTGGCGACATTATCACACAGGTGTTTTAGGCACTTTAAACGCGATTCGACAAATTTATTGGCCAATCAATGCTATGCAATCAGTCAAACATTGCATTCGTACCTGCGTACCGTGTCATCGCGCGAATCCAACGATTCCGCGATATCAAATGGGAAATTTACCCAAAAATCGAGTTACATTAAACCGTCCATTTTTAATAACTGGCATCGATCATTGCGGTCCATTATATATTAAAGAAAAACGCGTTCGCAACACCAAAACAGTGAAAGCTTATGTAGCAGTATTTGTATGTTTCTCTACAAAGGCAGTTCATCTTGAATTGGTTGGTGATCTCACCACAGATTCTTTTCTAGCGTCACTTAAAAGGTTCTTCGCGCGACGAGGAAAGTCGTCCGACATTTATTCGGATAATGCCAAAACATTTGTTGGCGCAAATCGAGAATTGCGTGAAATTCATAATTCATTCGAAATCGCCATTAAAGATAGTAGCATCCAACAGTACGCAAGAAATAACAACATACCGTGGCACTTTATTCCGCCGCGCGCGCCTAATTTTGGTGGTCTATGGGACGCAACTGTTAAATTAGTAAAACGTTATTTATACCGTACAATCGGAAAAACTTTACTAACGTATGAAGCCATGACAACGTATTTAACGGAAATTGAAGCCATTTTAAATTCCCGCCCACTTATTTCTTTATCTACCGATCCAAACGATTTTACCGCACTCACACCTGGACATTTCCTAATCGGTGACTTGATTACAAGTATCAATGAGTCAAGCGTTACAACCGTTCCGTCAACCAAATTATCGATGTGGCAACATGTTCAACGAATGAAAGAACATTTTTGGACACGTTGGCACAAGGACTATTTACACGAATTAACAGTTCGCAGAAAATGGCACACATCCACGCCAACTGAGGTCAAGGAGGGTGCACTGGTCATCGTACATGAGAACAATGTACCACCATTATGCTGGGCCTTAGGCAGGATAGTTGCGTTACATCCTGGTGACGACCATATCACACGAGTAGTGACGATCAAAACCGTTGCCGGCGAATATAAGCGCAGCTTGAGAAAATTATCACTGCTACCGTTAGACTAGTTCATGTATACATATATACTACTGTGATCAAAAAGTAAGGTGAATTTGTTTATAAAATGTAAATTCTTTATTTATTCTTCCAAATCAATTTCATCCCCTTCAAAGTAATCCCCGTCCGATAAAACGCACTTTTCCCAACGCTTTTTCCAGTCCTCGAAACAGTCGGAATAGTCTTTTTCCGGTATAGCCTTCAAGACCTTCTTCGATTCGGTTTTTATCTCCTCAATCGTGTCAAAACGGCGTCCCCGCATTGGCCTTTTGAGTTTGCTGAATAGCCAGAAGTCGCACGGAGCCAAATCAGGCGAATACGGTGGTCGCGGAACGATATGGGTCGAGTTTTTGGCAAAAAAGTCGCGCAGAACCAATGCAGTATGACATGGTGCATTATCGTGATGAAGGAACCAAGAGTTGTTCGCCCATAATTCCGGCCGTTTCAGACGAATAGCTTCACGCCAACGACGCATAACGCTCAAATAATATTCTTTGTTGACAGTTTGGCCCGGCGGAAGGAATTCATAGTGCACCACACCACGATAATCAAAGAAAACTGTCAACATCACCTTGATCTTCGATCGACTTTGCCGTGGTCTTTTCGGTCTTGCTTCACCTTTTGCACGATATTCGCTGGATTGGTCGGTGGTTTCAGGGTCGTATGCGTAAATCCAAGTCTCGTCTCCAGTGATGATGCATTTGAAGTGGTCCTGATAGTCAGACAGCAAAGTTTCACACACATCAACGCGACGCTTTTTTTCAAAAAAATTGAGCGATTTTGGCACCAATCGAGACTTGACGCGTTTGAGACACAAAACATTCTTCAAAATGGTTTGGACTGAGCCAAATGATATTCCAACACTATCAGCGAGGTCTCTAATTGTCAATCGACGATTTTCAAGCACCAAATCTTTGATTTTTTGGACGTGGCCCTCGTCGGTAGACGTTGATGGTCGTCCAGAGCGCGGTTCGTCTTCAACGCGTTCTCGGCCCACTTTGAACTTGTTGTACCACTTATACACGTTTTTTTGTGCCATAGTTTGATCACCAAAGGCCTTCCGCAACATTTTCAACGTGTCCGCACAAGAATATTCGTTCCGCAAACAAAATTTGATGCAAGTTCTTTGCTCAACAAAATCACCCATTGTAAAAATCGAAAAATTCACTTTTGGTTCTTTACAAAAACACGTGTAACTCGGAGATAATTAAACCTTTTGACAAACAGACGCTTGGCAAATGTCGTAGACAGTCCTACCAACGTAGGAAAAAAAATTTACCTGCCTTCCTAATGCCCGGGAGTTTTAAATGACAATTTCACCTTACTTTTTGATCACAGTAGTATGTCTTAACATCTCACATGTACATACAATTATATTCGTACCACCGTTTTTGTTCTCTGTACAGTATCATATGTAAATAATTTAACGCTTGTACAGTAGATTCATAAGTACTTAGAAATAAGGTACACTGACAAACACACATACATTCCGCTTGCTGCTTTATATTTATCACTTATTGACCATTGCTGGTCAAGGGAGGCGGTATGTTGAAACGTGCTTATAGCAAAGTCGGGGCTATAGCAATCGAGTCATTTATGACAGGCAATTTTACCAGCGCATTCAGCCAAGCCGACCCGCGGCCTTTTGTTTCCAAATTGCCGTTAGACGTCGACGATGACCATAACCTGGGGTTCTTGGGCAGCTGCAAAACACGTGCGGGACACTCTCGTATTTTTATTAATTGTCGGTTTTTCCTGACCATCGATTCCCGGAATTCCAGGTCTACTTCGAGAAGGGGAATTTCAGCGCATCGTTCTCCCTTCCAACATTACAGACATTATTTGCCACACCCACACCAACTCAGAACACCAATCATGTACAAATACATCCACCACTCTAACACACCATTCAAGCAACACACGAACCTGTAGATATTTTCAGTACCACGACAATTTTCATTCTGTATCCAACATCAGTAGAGACCACTTCGTCAGTCTAGTGCGATCTCAGATACTAAATACAATTTATACACAAGACACCAGTGTCAATTCATTTTATTCAAACCATTCCGTTAATATTAATTTATTCTTCGGAAAGCGACGTTCGTGAAATACTCCAACTTCAACATTTTTCGCGAACACTTCGCAACAAAAAGGAAAGCGGAGTGGAGAATAAACAGGGAGTCGAAGAGGGACAAGAGGGAGGGGAAATAGTGAGGGTGGGTTGCATGAAAATATGGGTGGAAGGAAAGTGCAGGGAATGGGACGAATGGCAGGAACTGTTCAGGAGAATGGGAGGGGAGAAGGTAGAGGGGGAAGGAGAAAACGGCGGGAAGGAAAACAAGGAGAGCGGGGGAGGAACGGGGAACGGGAAAGAGGAGAGAACGGAGCCAAGGGGGGGGCAATGTGAAAATTTGCTTCAGGAACGTGGTGGGACTGATGGGGAAGGATGAAGACTTCTGGAGGGGGCTAAGGGAATGGGTTAGGTCTGGGTTAGGTACAGGACATTGTATATCTAACAGAATCATGGGCGGAGAGAAAAGAGTGGGGGGCAATCAGAAGGAGGCTACCGACAGGACACAACTGGGAATGGCAGGAGGCGAATAGAGAGAGCAAGCGGAGGGATGTTAATGGGAGTAAAGAAAGGAATGGAGGTTGAAGGGGGACGGGGGAAGGGAAAGAAAGGAGGGATGGCATGATAGAGAATGGACGTTCGCGGGACCGAATGGGTGCTCTGTAATTGATTACATGATAGGTGGGAGGGAGGCGAGGGAGGAACTAGAGGGACTCTGGGTAGAGGACAGTGTGGAATCAGACCATCATCCGATTGTGGTAGAAGTAAGAGGAGGAGGAGGAAGGGGAGGAGGAAGAAAGAGAGGAGGAGGAAAGAAAGGAGGAAGAAAGAGAGGAGGAAGAAAGAGAGGAGGAGGAAAGAAAGGAGGAAAGAGAGGAGGAGGCAAGGGAAGGGTGGAGGGTAGGAAGAAATGGGACTTGTCAGGGGAGGGAAGGAACAGATTCAGGGAGAAGACAAAGAAGTGGGACCTGGAGACAGAGAGAGTAGAGGATGGTAGGAGAGTTGGAAGGGAAGATAAGCGAAGCAAGAAGCAGGCTGGGAAAAGTAGTGAAGGGAAGGAGAGGATGGGGGGGGGTGAAGAGTGCAAGGACAGGAAGGAGGAAGTCTCCTCACTTAGGTTGCTAAGGACATAGCAGAATGGCGAGGGGGAAAGGGAGGAGTACAGGAGGACGAGAGCTGGCCACAGAAATGGTAAACGGGGATAATAGTACCACTAAAGAAGAAAGGGGAGGGGTCGAGGGTGGAGGATTATAGAGGAGTCACGTTGATGAGTGTGGGGTACAAAGTCTGTGTGAAGGTCCTAGAGAAGAGATTAGAAAGGGAGATGGAAAAGGAAAGAATGCTCCCTGAGAACCAGGCAGCGCACAGGAAGGGAAGGGGTACAATAGTCACAGTTACGTGTCGAATTACCTGGTGAAGAAGGAGGTGGGGAAGGTAGGAGGGAAAATTGAACAGAAATTTACGTAATTGCGTGAGTTTTATTAATTAAAATAAAATTGAACATGAGCTTCTGGAAGAGAATTTGAAGGTGTTTGCCTTCTTTGTGGACCTGAAGGCAGCATTTGACTCGGTAAACAGGCGGATGCTATGGGAGGCGCTGATGAAGAGAGGGGTAAGTGGGGGTTAATAGACAGGATAAGGGAGGGGTACAGCGAGACAGTGAGCAAGGTGAAAGTAGGGGGACGATGTGGGGAAGGGTTCTAGACAGCGAGAGGGGTCAGACAAGGATGCCCGTTGAGCACTAAATTCTTCTCACTCCTGATAGCGGACATGGAGGAAAGGCTAGAGAAAAGGGGAAAAGAATGCCAACGATGTGGTATTGATGGCGCAGGATGTAGGGGAGCTGAAGCTGATTCTGGAGGAATTGAAGGGGTATCTGAAGAAGGGATTAGAACTGAACCTGGGGAAATCAAATGAGCTTTGGGAAAGGGGGTGGGATGAGGATAGAGAGGAAATGGAGGTGAGGGGAGGGAAAGGTGGAGAAGGTAAGGGAATACAGGTACCTGGTGTACAGGATACAGAGAAACAGAAAGCAAGAAGGGCAGGTAAGGGAGAGGGAAAGGAATGCAGCAGGGGCGATGAGGAAGGTTTGGGGGTTAGGAAAGAGGATTTTCGCAGGAAACTGGAAAAGGAGGGTATGGTTATACGATATCATGGTATGAACGGTGACGAGTTACGGAGTGGGAATATGGGATGGAAAGAGAGGGAACGGATAGAGAGGATGGATGAGAGGTATTTGAGATGGGTCATGGGGTTAGACGCTGGCCGTCGCCGCCGAGCCGTACCGCATCCCTGACCGCCCCGATTGGGCGGGGGACGCGCTGGGCTCCGTGGCGGTGGTCGGCGACGGGGCCGCCCCCCTGAGCGTTTTGACGCGCGGGTGCGGCTTCGTCGCGGCGCTGTATGTGCATCTCGCGGTGGTCGGGGTGTATGCCCCTCCGAGCATGCCCCTCGCGGCATTTGAGATGCTGTTGGACGGGATCCGGGACATTGTGTCCCGTGATCCGACTCGTCCAACATTGGTCCTGGGGAACTTCAATGCGAAGTCTACCCTCTGGGTAAGCCCCAGGACCGACGCGAGGGGCGATGTCGTGGAGGAATGGGCGGCGAGCGCGGACCTTCGGCTGCTCAACCTAGGGTCTGCGAGCACGTGCGTGCGGTGGCAGGGAGAGTCGATTGTCGACCTCTCATGGGCTACGCCCGCCGCCGCGCGTCTCGTGTCGGGGTGGAGGGTGGCGGAGGAGGTGGTAACACTTAGCGACCACCACAACATCATTTTTGATGTTTCCGCCGCCCCTCGACACCACCCCGCTCTCCGCCCGGGCGCTGGCCGGCCGCCGCGTAGATGGGCGCTCAAGCGCCTGGAGGAGGACGCGCTGATGGCAGCGGCCGTCGCCGTGTCCTGGCCGGGGGTTCCGGCCGGACCGTTCGCGGACG